GGAGGGTACCTGGGGGGTCCAGGGGTTTCCCCCAGGCAGTCAGGGGTGCCCCTGGGGGTGTGGGGTGCCCCACCTGGTCCCTATTGCTCTCCAGCGCTGGCAGCACCTCCTTGACCGTCCTCTCCACCAGGATCCCTCCGACCATGCGGAAACACTTCCGTGTGGGATCCACCTCCCGCAGGGTCTCGATGACCAGGCTGGGGGGACATGGGGCAGGGGGTGTCAGGGCTGCAGAGCCCCCCTGGGCCCCTCTTACCCCACCTGTGCTCACCTGTGCTCGTTCAGCTCCAGCTCCAGCTCAGCTGCTTTGGAGGCCAAACCTCGCTGCTCCTGCCGCAGCCGATTGAAACGGGACACAACCTGGGACAGAGGAGACAGGGGGCATGGGACACCCTCGGGGACAGGGGATACCCTCTGGGGATTAGGGATACCCCAGGGAACAGGGATACACATGGGACATCCATGGGGACAGGGGATAACCCCTAGGGACAGGGGATAAACCCTGGGGATTAAGGATACCCCAGGGAACAGGGATACACGTGGGACACCCACGGGGACACGGGATACCCCAGGGAACAGGGATACAGGTGGGTGACCCACGGGGACAGGGGATACCCCAGGGAAGAGGGATACACGTGGGACACCCATGGGGACAGGGGATACCCCAGGTAACAGAGATACACGTGGGACACCCACGGGGACACGGGATACCCCAGGGAACAGGGATACAGGTGGGTGACCCACGGGGACAGGGGATACCCCAGGGAAGAGGGATACACGTGGGACACCCATGGGGACAGGGGATACCCCAGGTAACAGAGATACACGTGGGACACCCACGGGGACACGGGATACCCCAGGGAACAGGGGATACCCCTTGGGGACAGGGGATAGCCCAGGGAACAGGGATACATGTGGGACACCCACGGGGACAGGGGATACCCCAGGTAACAGGGATACACGTGGGACACCCACGGGGACACGGGATACCCCAGGGAACAGGGAATACCCCTTGGGGATTGGGGATACCTCAGGGAAAAGGGATATGCATCACATTATGTAGGGACAGGAACACTCCCCAGGGACAGGGGATAACCCCTGGGGACACCTGCTCCGCTGCCAGCCCTTCCCCTCCCAGGGCCCAGTGCGCTGGTTCCGTCCCAGTGCTCTCCCCGTCCCGTTATCCCTGTTCCCCCCGGTGCCCCCAGCCCCGTTACCACCGGAGCTCCCCCCGTCCCGTTATCCCTCATCCCGGT